GGCAGGGGAGGGCAGTTAGGGGCAATTGGGCCGGCAGTGGAGCAGTTAGGCGTCGATCAGGCAGTAGGGGCAATCGGGCCAGCAGAGGAGCAGTTAGGCGTCGATCAGGCTGGCAGGAGAGTGGTTAGGGGGTGATCAGGCTGGCAGGCAGAAGCAGTTAGGAGCAATCAGGCAGGCAGGCAGGCAGGCAGGCGAGCAGTCGGGAGGCAGCAGTCCTGGATTGTGAGAGGGATGTCCCACTGGGATCAGGCCTAAACGGGCAGTCGGACATCCCTCGAGGGGTCCCAGATTGGAAAGGGTGCAGGCTCGGCTGAGGGACACACACCCCGCCCCCGCATGAATTTCGTGCACCGGGCCTCTAGTTATAAATAAAGAAGTTATCTTCTTAGTGTTTGGCACTAAGAAAAAACACAAAAATAAACCCAGTCATTGTCTTCAAGGAGCTTATAATTTAGTTGAGAATTAAAGACACAGTATAAATGCCACAATGCCATATTAAATAGCTAGCACAGTTAATAACAAGTTTGAGAAATTTAGGGTAGAAGATACCACAGTATACACTAAAGGATTTGGAAAGGCAAGAAAAGAAAAGGTCAGAGCAAGGGATCTGAACATGTGCACATGCATTATTGTTTAGATCAGTGATTTCCAATTACCAGCCAGTATATGGCAATTTAACAAGCAAACAAAATGAAAAAACAACATATACATGTATATATGTTTTCCATTAAACTGATTCATATTTGTACTATAATTGACCCACTTTGAAATACTATTGGCTGAATAGCAAAATATTTTAAAATGTGTTTACTTGCCCAAATATCATGTTTTTTAATTGAAATTTTTTTGGTGACATCGATATATATAAAAGGCTAAGTGTCCGTCCGACTGGTAGCTATTATGTGCACTGACCACCAGGGGGCAGAAGCTCAACACAGGAGCTGCCATGATGTGCACTGGCAGTTTAAAAAGAAACAGCACCATGGACCTGGCGCCAACAAACCAACACTTGGCTTCCCCCAAGTGGGACACAGGCCCCGCCAAAATCGCAGCCAATGCTGCCAAGACCCCATGGTGCAAAATGCAGCCCACAGCCCAGCCCAGTCCGGAAACAGTGGCTGTGGGTGCTAGGTAATGACATCACATAGCAACGCCCAGCTTCCTCTCCCTAGCAACTAGCCTCCTTGGAGTTTCTTCAGCCCAGGAACCCAACTTGCTTTATATAGCAAGGTGCAAACATTTTACAGTTTAACCAAATGTTTGTGAAACATTTTCCCGTGCCTCATCTCATTTGATCCTCACAGAAATCCTGGAGTAGACAGATAGGAGACTTGGTAGAATCCTATTTTCTTTTCATTAGCAAGACGCAAAGAGTGATATTAAAGTATTTCTTCTAATTAATTTCCTTTCAATGTGCATGAATCCGTGCACTGGGCCACTAGTACATTAATAAAATTATACAGGTTTCAGGTGTACAATTCTATAATACATCATTGGCTTATTGTATTGTGTGTTCATCACCCTAAGTTCAGTCTCCCTCTATCACATTTTAATCCTCATATTCTTTGAAATTTTACTGATTAATAGAATCCAAAAGTATGAGAACCACTGATTCAGGCAGAGAAGTTGAGAGACGGTATTTAAAAATTTAGTTTGAATAGTACAAAGACTTTGTAACAGATTGAGTAGATATTCATGGAGGGTGGTAGTAGGTTATAACTTCATTTTTTTTAAAGCATATTTTTATTGATTTCAGAGTGGAAGGGAGAGAGGAAGAAATAGAAACATCATTGATGAGAGGGAGTCATTGATTGGCTCCCTTCCTCACACCCTACTGGAGATCGAGCTTGCAACTCTGGTATGTGCCCTGACTGGGACTGAACTGTGACCTCCTGGTTCGTATGTCGATGCTCAACCACTGAGCCACGTCGGCCGGGCTATAACTTCGTTTTTAAGCCTGATTAAACGGAGGAGGGAAAGCTAAGTATCATTGGCAAAAATATAAGGAGAAGCAGGTTTGGAGAAGAATATGATGAATGAGATTTGAAGTATGCTGATTTTGACATGAGGTGAGGACATTAAAATGTGTTAAGTATAGGAGATGTGGTCCTGGAGTTTAATACCTTGGAGTGGAAGAGAGGGTAGAAGAACACAGAACACCTATTAAGGGAGAGGTAAAAATAAGCCTAAGGAATCACTAATATTGTGGACTGGGCAATATAAGAAATGTCAATGAGTGAGACAAAGAAGTATCAGACAGTTTCTGCAAACTGTTTTATAAGAGGAGGATTACAGTAGAAGAGGTCCTTAATGCAAAACAGGGAGAGATACCACTAAGAAAGGGAATGTTTAACAGATAGTAGAAAAACATGCTCTGTTTGTTGTTGTTAAATCAAAGCCAAATCTCAGGTTTATAGATAAATTTGTCTAACCATTGGGAGGAATAAGCAGTAATTCCCAAAACCAATGTTTTCACATTCCATTCCCACAAAGTGAAAGTAGAAAACCAATGTGCCCAAACAGATGTTGCAGTCCAATTGCCAGTTTTATTAGTTTTCTCTAAAACTTAACTAGGCTCCCCTGAGACAGGTTTGTGTAATTAAAAAAGCACTTGGTGAACCCAGGACCTAGTCTAAGCTCTGATTAGTTAGTTACCTTGTGTAATTGTGACTTTGGAAAAAAACTTTATTCCTCTGAACTCACTTTCTATTTCTACACCTGTAAACTGATATGGTCCCTCCCAGCTCTAACACTCTATAGATAACATAGTCAATGACTGGTACTAGTATAACAGCATTACCACATTATACTTTCATTATGATATACACATGCCAAATGACGAACAAATTCAATCCTCAACACTGACTTGAATGCAGAAGTAATAAAAAGCCTCAGAAATATTAGGGTCATCAAATCCCAAACTTGCTTACTTATATTTGAGGTCTTCCTTCGGAGCTTTAATAACTTCTAAAATATAATTTATTTGGGTAAAAAAGGTGAAGGGATTGAGAACTACAAATTGGTAGTCACAAAATAATCCTAAGGATATATAGTATAGGGAATATAGTTGATAATATTTTAATAACTATGTACAGTACCAGGTGGGTACTCAAAATATCAGGGTACCACTTTGTAAAGTATATGATTATCAAACCACTAAGCTGCACATCTAAAACTAACATAAAATAAAATTTATTTATAAAAATTTATCACAATAAAACACATTCTAAGAAACACATTAACCTGTATGATTTTATTAACCAATGTCACCCCAATAAATTCAATTAAAAAAATAAAACAAAATAGAATGATTTCAAAAGAAATCATAAAACTGAAACCTTCAGAGTGGGAAGGTACCTAATAGATAATCTAACTCTGGGCTTATCAACCTCAGCATTGACATTTGGGGCCAGTTAATCTTTTATTGTACAGGGCTGTCTCACTAGATGCCAGTAGCATTTCCCATAGAGGTGATGACCAAAACGTCTCCAGACATAATGAAATGTCCCCTATGGGGCAAAATAGCCCCTACTGATAACCACTGACCAAATATAATTTGATTTAAAAGGTTAAAGGGAAGTTAAAGCCTCATGGGGTTAACTATACCATCCATGATTCCACAAATAGTAGCCTAGCCAAGACGTGAATTCGTGTCTCTCAGCTCCTAGTACACTGATCTTCCCACCATGCCCTAAAAGCTAAAACCAATTAAGAACCAAATGATCCAAAATATAATCTATCAGATAAACATACATAAGGTATATTTCGGAAAATCACTACACACAATTTATGTACAGAGAAAAGTTTACAGACTCTCAAACTATTTTCATGACATGACGCTTCTCCTTTCCAACAAATCCAATAATGTATCTACTTTCTCACTGCAAGATTTCAAGTAGAATTGTGATGAGATCTATTAATCAAACATGTCCATTCTAAGGTATATATCATTAATCAAAATTATAAATAGCAAGGTTCTATTGCCTACTGGTAGTCAACAGGCAGAATGAGAAATTCTCTGTTCTGTTAAATTGACACATAGAGAAAACCACCATATTCAGAAGCTTTCTTTTATTTTTTAACTTCCAGAAATCTTAGTTTATATTTGCAACCTGATTATTGTATTTTCCCTTTTAAATATAACAAACAGCTTGGATCATAATTCAAATCTCTCAGCTGAAATAACCAAAAACAAAACTTAAGTGTCTGATAAGTCTCACCTTCCGAGGAAATACCAGGACTGGCCAGAATTAGGATCTGCTTCCAAGGACTTTTGGAGATACTGAATAGCACAGTTTTCCTTGGCAGCTTTATCTCCCAGGAGATCTATAGTGTGATGCATCCAACCTATAGTAAATGAATTAAAATATTTACCTGAATGATTTAACTGTTCTTCTATTGTTAAGAATACCACATAGAAAGCAAATAAAAATATTCTTTTCAGTTAATCAATTCATTTAGTTTGGTATACACACTCCAAAAATTTTGAACTACCAATTCTGGCCACATGAAAGCCTATTTCTCACAGGAAGGTACAGTCAAAGCTATGAAGAACATTTACTCCAGAGAAATTTAAACAATTTTAAGCATTGACTTGACACTTACAAACTATAGCTCCTAATTTTGGTATCTGAAAAAATTCCAAATTATAAACCAAAAAATACAAAGATGTTAAATTTAACTCACTATTACACATAAAAATTTATGTTCATTGAATCTCCAAAACAGTGTATTAACCCAACATTTATTTCCAAGAAATAAATATATGGCTATACAATCAATGACAGTCCAGAGTAAAACACACACACATGCTACATTATTGGTGTCGGCCAAATATATACACAACTTACATAAAGTAAAAACTATAAAGTATTTGACAATTTAAAATAACCCAAGGTGCCCTAGTCAGTTTGGCTCAGTAGCTAGAGCATTGGCCAGTGGACTGAAGGGTCCCGGGCTCATTTCTGATCAAAGGGCACGTACCTTGCTTGCAGGCTGGATCCCTGGCCTTGGGTGGGGCTTGTGTGGGAGGCAACCAATCGATGTGTCTCTTTCACATCGTTATTTCTCTCAGTCTCTCTCCTCCCTCCCACTCTCTCTAGAAATCAATGGAAAAATATCCTCAGGTGAGGATTAACAAAACAAATAAAATAACCCAAAACTATAAGAAAAGTATATCCATGTGGTGCAAATAAGAATGGTACAAATGCGTACCACAAACATTTAATAAACAAATTTAGGTAGTGCATAATCTCACTTATATGTGAAATCTAATGAACAGAATAAACTGATGAACAGAGACATGGATGCATGAAACAGAATAACAGATCTCAGGGCGGGGGGGAAATTAATCAAAGAACATACACATATATAATAGCCCATGGACAAAGACAATAGTGCAGGGAAGGCCTGGAGTGGGGCAGGGGCTAGGTGGGGGGCAAAGGGGGAGGAAATGGGGGACACCTGTAATATTGAC